AGGGATCTTCGACTGTTGAAGTTTAAAACCAGCAGAACACTGCAGAGAAGCCAGCAAGCGATGGAGGGAGAGGAGGCCACGTCAGTCACGTGAAGACCACCAAGCAAGTGCCAAGGAGCCAAAGTTGAAGGACTCGAGGGCCTTCCCTCCGAGCTGGCGCCCCGAGGTCAGGCTTCGGGCCTCCTGCACGGGACACAGAAAGCTGTGTGCACGCCCTGCACCTGTGATCTTCCTGTTACAGCAGCAGAACCAGTGCTGAGGTCGGAGGCAGGGACGCCCACTGCCGGGCTCACAGCTCTCTGAGCGAGGGGCTGCTGGCCGTTTTATATCTGAGCTCATCTTGCTCTCATCACCAGAGGGAAGAGCAACACCAGCAAGGCTGCCACTGGTCCAGTGGGAAGTCCCAGGGGCAGCGCTGCTGGTCTGCACACACTTTGAAGTCAGAGTCCGGGGGGCATGGCGCGGGGCATGGAGATACAGTCTGGTCTCCCAGCACCTCCTTCCCACACCCCGTGATCCAGAGGCCACTGGGGCCATCACAGCCCCAGCTCCCAGCCAGCCAGGGCCCTGGTGGGACATGGGAGGGTGTGCCTGGGACTTCTGATCTCCATTAGTCTGCAGTCTCTTGGCCAAGTGGTGGGCTGGTTCCCAGTCAGGGCACGACCGGCCACCTGGTGGGTGCCAAGGGTGGGCACTAGCTGGTTGCCCTGAGGCTGGAGGCCTGGGCGTGGGGGGCGCTACAGGGGACCAGCAGCTTCAGGGTGTACCCTCTCCCCTGCCTCAGCAGCCTTGGTTTTCACCCGTCCCCCCACCACCGCAGGGATGGGGTCTGCAGTCTGGCTGCTGGGGCCTGTGCTGCCCTGATCCCTCCTCCGGAACAATCTGGGCTCATTTATATTCTCCCCCAACCTCAGCCTGTGGGATTGGATTAAGTTGCTCTAAATGAAACCGCGTTACCTTGGATACACGAGAATTGGGGTAAAACAAACCACACTGTGGGGGTGGGGGTTGTCAGCTCTGAGGGACCAGCGGGGGTGGTCCCCAAGACTGGCCCCACCCCCAGGACTGGCCTGGTCCGGCCCAGTCACAACCTCTCCAAGATCCTTGCACCCACGCCCCATGACCGGTCAGTTACCCAGCCCCACCCCGTATCTGTCCCCAGGGACGTCAAAGTCTGTGCCTGCAGCATTTCCAACACACACCCATGGGCTGCAGGGGGCAGGGGGCTGTAGGATCAGGATGTCCGGGCCTGGGCCCACCCTTCATCACTGCCCTTCCCCTCGCTGAGCTCAGTCTGCCTGTCTGTATGACAGCCCACCCAACTCTTGCGTCCACAGTGATGGTGCCGGGTGGGCTATGGAAGGTGGGGGAAGGGAGGCAGAGGGAGGAGGTCATCGGGTAGCCCCTGCTTCTTTCATCAATGGTGCTCTTGCTTGTCTGCTAAGGTTGGAGTTCCCCGGGGACACCTTGGAATAAAGGCTGGCCACCGGCTTCTGGAAAACCAGTGATTGGAACCTGACGGGGCACAGTCATGCAGACACCCAGGGGTGCTGCACCCAGGCTGGGATCCACAGCAAACAGCTGGCCTCTGCTCCCCCTGACTGCCCGTCCACCCTGGGCCCTGCAGCGTGACACTCCGCATCATGGTCCCCAGCTCACAGGGCAGCCCAGTGTCCTGAGCACAGCAGGTGAGACCTGTTTCCTCTCCTCAAGGAGAGGCCCTCTAGTGGGCTGTTGGGGCGAGGGGGGCAAGAATGGCGAAGAACCCACCCAAGACCCTGTGGGCTCAGGGGACAGACGCCTCTACTCTGCTCAAGGCTTCCCGGAGACCCCGACACCGGGGCTAGTGGAGGGCTCCCCCTGGGGGGGGGGGAGAGAGAGGGCTATTCCTGGGAGCTCAGTGCTCCTCATCCTCCCACCCAAGGGCCCAGTCCTCCCCACCCTGCTTTCCTGCTGGAGACTGACCCAGGTCCACCCAGCAGCCTTAGCTGGAGAGCAGGACACTGTGCCCCACCACAGAGCCAGGCATGAGCACTGAGGCTGGCACCAAGTGGACACTGGGTTATGTTGGGGACCTCATAGCAGACTTCCAGGCCGCACGCCCCAGGACCTGGTGTCCCAATACTTCCAACAAAGCCCATCCCTGGGTACATCACCCCCTGCTCACTGGGGTCCCCTCCGCTCCACACCCAGCCCAGAGCCTGGTAGGAACAAAACAAACTCGCTGCCATCGAGTGGATTTAAACTCCGAGAGACCCTATCTGGTGGGTGGAGCTGGCCCTTTGGTTTTACAGGGAGAGCAGAAACCCTCCCCTTGCTCCTGCAGAGCCTTGGGGCTTTCAAACAGCTGACCTTGCAGCTAGCTGCCCAATGCGGATCCCAGGGACAGCTTGGTAAAACCTGTATGGGTGCAGCCTGCGGGCAGGGGTGTGCCCCTGTGAGCAGGTGCTAGGGCCCTTGGGAGTGGGGGCTCCTGTCAGTCAGAGGCATTTTCCTGTGCAAGGGGATCAGGGGAAGGTCAGCAGGAAGCGGGATTCCGTCAGTAGGGGGTGGCCCTCTGAGCAGAGGGCAGTACCACCAGAAAGGGGCAGGTTCCTGTCAGCAAGGGGTGGGGCCCTACCAGGAGGGAGTGGAGCCCTGTAAGCAGCGGGTGTGGCCCAGTCGGCAGGAGACGTGGGTGGGGCCATTGCAGCCCCCGCCACCTCCCCCCCCAACACACACTCCATGCTGTAGCTCCCTGATGCTTTATCCCCTCTCCCTGTATCCAGTCCCATCCCATAACCTGGACTGCAGCTGTCCACGGAGGGGCCCCGACTGGGCCTAGGGTCTCCCAATCACTCTGAGGCCTCAGGGGAGGGAGCACGGCTTATCCGTCCCCTCCCGCGCCCCCCACCCCACCCCCACCCCCGTTCAGCCACTCCCTCCCAGTGGATCCATTCAGGCAAGCCTGAGAGCCCAGGGCCCCTGGGTGTCCGAGCTGTGCCGCGTGCCTCTCTGTGCAGAGCAGTTAACCTCGTCATTGGCAGAGACCTGTCTGGGCTCGTCGCAAGAATGCCGGGTGAGCAAGCGGGAGCCAGCTTGGCAGGACACAGCACGTGGGCCTGCTGGGTACACTCAGGCGCCACCTGATGCACAGACCAGGCACACCGGCGGGCACACGCACAAGTGCGCGCACGCAAACACCAATTTCCCCACCGCTCATCACTGCAGGGCAGCCCTGAGCTGGCGCCCCGCAGGCACCTGCATCCTTCTCAGACACTCGTGCATGCACCGGGAGACCGCCTGGCAGCAGAGCTGAGCAACCAGATAAGCCAGAAGCGCAAGTGTGACAAGAACAGCCCAGACTCCCTGAGGCCTCCCCCACAGGGTGGGCACGGGGAGCTTCCCAGACCAGACCCGGAAGTCTTCCCCCTCATGGGGAAAACCCTGCCCTCCGAAGACATTCCCAGACTCCAGGAAGCTCCGCCTTCCGCAGCCCCGGCCCCACCCCGCACCAGGTGGGCAGAGGCCTGTCCTCCAGCGACCCCCAACCCCATCCCACTCCCAGATGGGTGTCCTGGAGTGAGGTGGAGGGCCCGTGAGGACCCTGGACAGCTCCGCTGGCTGACCATGTGGCCATCCAGAAAGGGCAGCGGCTAGCTGGTCCTGGCTGAAGGGTTTAAGTGACCCGCTTCCCAGACACCTGGTCCCTGGCTCAGCTCACCATGGCCACTGGCTGCCAGAACCCTCTGTAGTTCTTTCATGCCGACAGGTTCCAGCTGGCTGGACCCCAAGTGCATTCAAGGGCAGCGCTCAGGCCGCAGCCAGCAACTGAGGCGAGGGGGGCCCGGCCCATGGGCTGGAACCGCCCAGGAAGGTGAGGCAGGCCACCGGCACCACTGGGCACTTGTCATCTCCGGGGACAGGGGGCGCTCACACCCGGCCACACCGTGCAGCCCAAATACTGAATGTAGACACGCAGCCCCCAGCAAATCTCTAGGGGTAAAGGTCAGACTCGTGATGCTCCCACCCCAGGTATGGCAGTCCCAGGAGCAGTAGGGAGACACGCCCCTCCATGCCCCACTGCCGGCCACCCCACGCATGAGCGCGAGCGCGCGCGCACACTGAGATGTTCCATTTTGTGCTGTTCGCAGCGCTAACTCAGCACCCAGTGCGCTCCCTTCCTGCCCTGACACCCAGCGGAGTGGGGACGACATGAGCAACTGGCAGTGGGCAGATCAGAGCTGGCGTCTGCTTCGTGCGACCCCCCCACACCTCCCAGTGGCACAGCCCGAGTCATTGCGGAAGACCTCAGGTCACTGGGAAACCGCACAGCGCCCTCTCTGGGACAAGTAGAGGTGCTACTGGCACAGGAAGGGGCCCCGCTGGCAACCCCAACAGTGACCTTGCGTGGCTGATAAAGGTGGGAGGTTTGAGTCAACCCTGGGGTGCCTGTGAGGAAAGGCCTGGCGAGCTACTTCGCAAACACCACGTGAAGCCCAGCTGTGCTGACACACAGCGGGTCACCAGGAGCCCTGGTGGACTCGATAGCAGGTGGCGTTTGGGTGTTAAGCTGGCCTGGCAGGAGGGGGACCCGGGAACCCAGAGGGGACCCCGGGAATCCACGCTGTGCATTAACTCCCTGCTCAGCCCTGCCCTGCTCCTTGAGAGGAGTATGAGCCCAGGGCAGCCCCACCACCCCCACACCCAACCCTTACGTTTGCCTGCTGCCCTGGAGAGCCACACTCGGGGCACAAGGCGGGGGTCTCCGAGGCAAGGGAGGAGGCCTCAGAGTGCCGTTCTCTGGAGGTAATCTGCAAAGAAAGGAACTCCCACCCTGCGCGCCGAGACTCTCCCCGAGTACGGAGGTCCACCTGTCCTGCATGACTGCAGAGCCCCCTTCTGACAAGGTGACCAGGACCCCGCGGTGGCCCGTGAGCTGAGTCCAGACCCCACTGTCCCTCTCTCAACAACAAGAGAGAGAAGCCTGCCTTCCGGCCGGAGCCAAACCCCACACTCACCCACAGGCAGGACGTTGGCATGAAGAAACCTTCTTCTGCCCTCCAGCTCCGGCCCCGGCTCCTCCGGCAGGGCAGCAGGGCCAGGCAGGGTGCTGGCTGGTGGCGGGGCCATGGGGAGTGCCCGAGGGCTCTTGGTCATGGGGGCAGCAGTGAGTGACAGATGGCACTGGCTTTATCAGCAGCTGGCACCAGCTGTCCATAGAAGGGGGTGGCTCTGAGCCCACCCTATCCTCAAGGTCCCCGGCATCTCTTGCTGAGTTGGGGTCCACACCTAGAGAGAGGGAGGAAGGTCAGAGGAAGTTGGGAGGTGAAGTCAGCGGTCCCCTTGAGCGCCTCTCAGGTGGGCCTGTAAGAGTGCCCTGGCGCCCCCTGCCGGGCGATGTGTTCCAGCCCAAACCAAAGACTACACTCACATTGCCTTCCAATCAGTTCTGACTCATGAGGACCCTGTAGGGCAGGGTAGAACTACCCCTGCAGGTTTCCAAGATGGGTAACCCTTTATGGGAGTAGAAAGGCTCGCCTTTCTCCTACCGAGTGGCTAGTGGTTTCGAACTGCTGACCTTGAGGTTAGCAGCCCACCTCTCCACCACAACACCACCAGCCCAGTTTCCCTAAACTCCAGAACCAGACCGATGACCATCAGGTCGATTCGGACTCATAGTGACCCTCTGCACAGGAATTCCAAAGGCCTCAATCTTCATGGGCGCAGGGCAGCCTCAGCTCCCTTCCTCAAAGCAGCTGGTAGGTTTGAACTACCGGGCTTTCGGTTAGCACCCCAGTGCTTAACCCCCACAGCTCTTAAGAGCATGTCTCCAGGCTGGACGTCATGCATATCGGGATGCAATTCAAAGGCAAAGCTGGAATCATCTTAGAATCTAGCCACCCTCCCAGGACCAAAGTCTGTAAGACCAGAGACTTGGTGGGGGGCGGTGGGGAGGGGTAGTCCCAGAACCAGGCTGCCCACAGACCGGGCTGTGTGCTGAAGGTGCCCACAGGCCGGGGACTGCAGGAGAAACCCCAGGCACTGGCGCCCCTTGCCCAGCCCTCAGACTCGTGCCCACCACTCTCAGTCAGGGTCATCTGGTCATGTCAGTCACTGAGTGGCCCTGGCAAGCAGCCAAGGCCACAGTGGTCTCTCCAGCCATTCCTGCCTAAAGCATCCACCTGGCCTGGCCCTAACTTTCACGACCGCCCCCACCCCGCCCCCGTAGTGCCTCTTCGTCACCCTCAGAACAAGGCCCCACCTCCTGCCTTTGCCAGGTTCATCTCCCTACTGGAAATCTCCCTGCCACCACCCCCTCCATCCACCCAACTCCTCCTCACACCCAAGGACAGAGGCTTCCCTGTCTCCTCTTCTTCACCGATGCCGAAGCCCACTCCCCCTTCAGAGCCCCCTCCCCAGGCCCCCAGACCGCAGAGACCACAAGAGGTGTACCCAAGGATTGGTGGAGGCCTGGGCACTGGGCACCGGAGCTGCTGGCCTGCCCTGGGCAGAGCTCTAGAGGCCCTTGAGTGGGTATTGGGCAGGGGCACTCTGGGAGGTAGGAGGGCCAGGAGGTGGTGTGGGCAGGCTCCTTGCCAAATGCTTGGCTTCCTCCCAGAAACTCAGACCAGCCCTGGCAAGTGGGCCCAGGTGGACCCCCCACCTCTACCTCACTCCCTCCTCAAATCCGGACCTCCAGGATGACCTCCAGGCCCCCAGGATAAAGGGACTCTCCCCAGACATCTTCCCTCCTGCTCCCAGCCCTGCCCCACTGAGCAGCAGCAGTACACATGAAATGGGCTGCCTGGAACTCTGTGGGGTCCTGGGCTCCAGAACAGCTAGGAAGGGGTGGGGTGGGGAGGGGTATGGTTTGGCAGCAGGCAGACACAGGGCCCTGGCCCCAACCCAGAGGACCCCCATACTCCCCATCACCCTCCCAGGCCCCCTCTTTTCTCAGCTCCCCTAGCCCCAGACTCACCCACAGCAGTGGGGTCTCCCCGGCCAGCCTTGCTTATGTGACCCCAGGACGGAGGCCCTCGGCTGCACAACTGCCTCGGAGGAGCTAGCCCGGCCAGACCGCCAGTTCCCGAGCAGGCACCCCACTTCCTGCTGCCGTTGGAGCCTGGACACCGTGTCCTGACACGTCTGCGGCGCGAGGCGGGCGTGGAGCTCAGCTGGGGTTGGCACAGAGAGCTTGATTAGGCAAGTGGCGCCCCACCAGGCCCGCACAAGCCAAGGCAAGGCCGCAAGGACCATGAAGTCAGCCCTGGCCTGGGTCCTGCTGCGCCATGCCGGGCACCCACAGTCTTGTGCCCGTGTCCCTGCCCTGAGAGCCTGTGGGCCCTGCAGCACTGCAGCTCCTGGCATCCACAGGTTGAGTAGGGGGCTTCGGGTGGGAGCAGGAGTGCCTCCATCCATTGGGGTCCAACCATACTGAGGTCTACGCTGCCCTGCAGCGGTGGGGCACTCTTGGGTGACTTCAGGCCCCCAGGTTCTACCTAAAGGATGCTGCACCCCTGGCCTCTGCTGGCGCCTGGCTCAGAAGCCTCCCACCCCCTGTCCCCCACCTGACCCCGAACCCTGGCTACTGTCTACACACTGACCACTCCGGGAGCATCATTCGGTTCCAGGCTGTGCTCCCCAAGAAGCAAGAGCCTTGAATTAGAGGGGGGCCCAGCCCCAGAGCCCCTCCTGAGCCCTCTGCCAGACTGTCCTGCCTAACAGTCACCCTGAACTTCCTTACTGTCCCTGGACCGGCCAGTCTCTGCACTCAACCCACCCTGGCCCTCATGAGGGGAGTGGCATACCTGGCCCCAGGCCCCTGGACCCCTGTCCTGGCTTTCTTTCCCAGTGGGCCCTCTCCCAGCTCGGGGGACCTCCCAATGCCGTCTGCTACAGAGTGCTAGCACGCAGCACAATGTCAGGGCCCCCACAAGCCCTGGCCTGCCCCTCAACACCCTCCTGCCTCCCACCACCTGCGTCAGGGCCAGGAAACAGAGACGCCACGCCTTGGGCTGGCAGCCCTGTTCGGGAAGCCCCCAGGGGGAGGGGGAGGGGGAAGGGGGCGCTGCCTCTCTAGTGGGAGAGGCCAGGGTGGGTGTCCACCCTCTTGGCCTCAGCTGGCCACCCAGCTCACAGGTAAATCCTACTCTTGGAGGAAGAAACTGAGGCCCAGAGAAGACAACCCTCCCTCTCCCACCCAAGCCTCAGCTGAGCTTGGCACATCAAACATGGAGCCAAATGCCCCTCTCCACTCCTCCTGACTCCCACTGCCCAGTCTTGTCCACAGGGTCCACCCTAGGTTGGATGTCTGGCCCCAGAGCCCCCAAAGGCTGACAGCCCCAGTACCAGGAAGCAGAGGGACATAGCCTGCCCCCAGCTGTTCCCTACCCATCCTGGGACCCCACTCTAGCCTTGTGCCCAGCCCTCTCTCCTAGGTTCCTCCGGGTCTCCACTCCAGGTGATCCTGTCCTCCAATGTCCACTCCCACACAAGAGACTCCTTCTTGAGCCCCCTACCATGCCAACTGCACCCCACCTCTGAGAAGCACCCTTTGACTACTCCTATCCTGAGTTCCCACAGCCCCCAGTGTGCACAGACACACACACACACACACACACACACACACACACTGACCCTTTAGAAGCCACCCCACCCCCCATGTCCAATGAAGCGGGGCTCTCTCTAGGCTGGGTGTGGGGTCCACAGTGTGGAGACCCACAGCACAGATGTCCTGGCGATGGGTGGGCCAGGCCACCAGCTGTCAGCCTCCCCGGTTCCTCTGCAGGCCCCACTGCCCACTGCCTCCCAGTGGTAGAAGAGGCAGAGCCCTCAGCCACTGGCACAGCACTGGGAGAGCCTGTGGGAGCCAGCATGCATGTTGGATCAGCAGCAGAGCCTGAGACTGTCCAAAGCCATGCAGCCCAGCAGCCCGGCCCCAGATGGTCATGGGAGGCCAGGGGTGGACCCGGAGCCTCGAGTCAGCTGGTTCTAGCCTCCACTCAAGGGCTTAGTGAAATGCAGACCACACACCCCCTCCCAGAGTTAGAGCTAGCTCAGGCCCAAGAGGGCAAGAGGGAGTGACCGGCAGGGTGACCCATGACATGTCTGGCCAGAGCAGACCCCACTAGCACCACACAGTCCTGGGGGGGGGCGGGGGAAGGTCAATGACCCACTGAAGGCGAGGGGGGAGGGAGGTGCTGGATGGGAGAGGAGCCACTTAGCCAGGCCGTGTGGCGTCTCCACGCTGCCTCATGGTGCAGCTGCTCTGAGCCAGAGACACCTTCTCCAGTAGCTCCCATGGAAACATGCAGCCTTCACGGCAGCCCCATGGCAGAGGGGCCCCAGGGTGGTCCCCACATGGCTATGTCATATATTGGTTAGGGACAAGGAAAGGTTACACAGGCCTGGAATTTGAAGAAAACCTAGTGCTGAACGTGGAAGCAAGAAACAGAACTGAGTATGTGACCCTACCACTACCACGACACAGAGCAGTGCCTTCTGGGAGTCCCAGAGCCAAAGCAATGTTCATAACCACGCCATGAGCTGCCACCAAGTTGGCCCTGTCTCATGACAACCCCAGGCACGACAGCGTCACACAGTGCCTGGTTTCCGGTTGTGGATCAGCTCTCGTGATCCATAGATTTGCGGGGGCTGATCTTCGTCTAAAGTAGATGGCCAGACCGTTCCTCCTCCTCTGTCTTCCTCGAAAGCAGGGTTTCCCAGAGTGGGCCATACCACCCCCTGAGGGAGCACAGGACAGTCCATCGAGTCCATGCTGACTTGTAGTGACCCTATAGGACAGGGTATATCTTCCCTGTGCATTTCCAAGACTGGAACTCTTTGTGGGAGTAGAAAGCCCCATCTTTCTCCCTCAGACTGGCTGGTGGTTTCAAACTGCTGATCTTGCAGGTCATCGTCCAATGGGTAACCACTCTGTGGCCAGCGCTCTTAGAACAATCCAAGGGAGTAGCCTTGGATTATGGGTCACAAAAGTTTTGAATTGCTGGTGGGGGGTGGACACTGAGTAATGTTTTTGTTGTTTTTGTCTGGAAAGGGGGCACTAGGCCAAATTGAGCTATGGTCTAAGGCTCAACTGTAACCTGTTCAGCATCACCACAACAGGAAAGCCTCCTCTGAGCCATGAGCCAGGTGGC